TGACATAGAGAAAACTGTAATTCTAGCTAACTACCCCTCAATTCCTAAGATATAAAACTCATTTCATTTCCTTTATAAAAACGTGGATGAAGTTTTCAATATATATAAGATGTTGTGTAGAATAAACAAGAGTAATATAGTGCAGAAAAATAAAAGAGAGGGAAGAGAGTATCAAGCCATGATTTATAGTGGTTCCTCCAACCTTGAGTACGTCCACTCCCCAAGTCTCCTTGCTCGAGAGTTCAATCCACTAGAAATCTCTTGCTTACGGGTGCAAGATTAAACCGAAAAAAACTCTTGCTTGCGGGTGCAAAATTAAACCCTCACAAGTGAATCTCAACTCACTCAACCCCTTTAAGGATTATCCCAATCCAAGAAGAATACAAAACCCTTGTAAGACAATTAACCCGAAAGCTCATAAGAAGAGAAGAAGACGGAGATCCAGAACACTTTCAAAAACAAACTCTGTTTTTTTGTATTGTTGGAGCAGTTCATCCTTCTTCATTCATTTAGATCTGATTTTTTATGTCCTTTTATTAGTTGGTTAGGAGCCTTGCAATTAAAGCCCATTTAGCCATTCAAATCCACCTCACAATTGCCCCAATTAGGTTCCACCTATTTCTTCTGACTTGTTTTGGAGATTGCTAAGACATTTGGATCCCCCACGACCCATTAAGAATAAACGGATAGTTGAGCTATCAAAATTTACCCTTCCAGAATTTTTGCTTCGAATCCAGAAATAATGGTTCGAATCATTTTCGAAAAAAAAAGTTCGGGATTGGTTCGAACCAAATATAATTGATTTGAACTCAGAACTCTGAACAAGGAGGATATGATTCAATTCTAATCGTGGGGAAATATTAGAATCCTTGAATTAACTTTCCTGCACACTTAGTACAAAAATAGATTAAATTCTTTGAATCATGGTTTTAAACCATCATCAATATACAAAGAGAACCTAACAATCTCCCCCTTTTTGATGATGACAAAACCATGCCTTAAAATAATAAAGATAATAAGTGTAAGCTCCCCCTCAAAATATGCTTCCAAGTTGCAACAGGAATTGCACAAACAGATAATATGGATAGTTTTCATTTAAATTCCTCTCCCCATTTTTGTCATTAGCAAAAAGAAATTTGCACATTAGCACAAAGCATAGCATAGGGTTCAAACATACAAATAAACAGTACACAAAAGTGAGACATTGTAAGAGTACAAAATACTAAAATTATGATAAGCATTATAAACCAAAGTAAGCACAAAGCATTGCATCTGGGTGACTACGATGAACATGTCCCTTGTTTTTACCAACAACCAAAACTTCATTATCATGAATGT